CTCCCTCGTGCTCTCTTCCAAGCTCAGGCGATTCCTCCATTTCACTCCCCGCCCCCTTGAACCACCCCCATCTACGTACCCCTCTCTTCATCTGTACCCACCCCCCAGTTGTAGATCCGTACACCACCCCCCATTCCCCCGATCGTTTGTACTCCTCAACAATGTACCCAAGTACCCTACCATCGTCATAGACCGAAATTGTACCCGTCCTTGAGCATCACTTTACTTCAAAACCACCCCAGTCTGAGCTAGTACCCCCCTGGCTTCACGAATTAAGACTGATAAGTACCCCACTCTTTGTACTGCAACAACATATAGGCCACCACCTTCCACCCCTTAAAATATAACCCCCACCCCCCGTGAAAGTAGTACCCACCGTCATCGTTACCTCTGCAACCCCACCACTCGCCCAACGGACCAAAAATTTGCAACAAAGAGAAGATTCCAGTTATCCTTTGAAATCGCCTTCCAATTATTCAAATTTATTGTAATGTGTATTGAATTATTTCTTGATTTCAGATGTTCAACTCTGTTTGTCTTTACAGTACTATAGTGCCTGGAGCTCGATGGGGTGGGTAGCCGGGGGGCTTTGAATACCAGGGGTAGGGGTTTTGGTAGTAGGGGTAGTGAAGGGATGAAATAAGGGATACAACGAGTCAACAATTGTAGGTAGGGGTATCGAGCCCCCCTGAGAAAATTCATCAATGGGGGTAGGGTAGTCTCTTCCCATAGTTACAATTCCGGTCACAAAAACTTTCTGGGGAATCATATTCAACCGAATCGCCGGAGTGATCAGATCATGCGGCGGCGCACACTGGCACCGGGCCCGCAGTGCTCGGCCCGGCGGGACTGGTGCCACCCGGCGCCGTGCGGGCGGCCGGGCCTGCCCCGGCCCGGCGGCCCGGGTTGGTCACGCCCGGGGCCGCCGCTCAGCCGAGCCGCCGCGGCCGCTGACTCCGCGGCCGCGCCCGGCCGGACGGTAGTCCGGGACGGGAGTCGCACGGTCGGACCGTCGGACCGTGCCGGCCCGGCCCGGACTCCGGTCGTCGGACTCCCCGGCGGAACGCCGTCGGTCCGGTCCGGGCCGCCGCCGGCCGCGCCCCGGCGGGGCCCGGGCAGCGGCGCGGCGTGGCGCGGCAGTGGGGGGCCGCGGCGCCGGACCCGCGGCGGCTGAGCCTGGCCCGCCACCGCCCGGCAACCGGACGGTACTGGGCCAGTGGCACGGTCCGATCATCAGGCTCGGCCCGATCGGGCCGGGCCCGGCACTCAGTACAGGCCGCGGCAGCCTGGCCGCGGCAGTGACTCGTACTAGTCAGTGATAGTAAAGCCCGGCCTCCGGGAGAGTACCGTCCCGGCGGAGTCACGTCCGGCGGCGGGGCCGGCCGGTCGGGGGCGCCAGTCCGGGCCAGGCCAGCCTGCCAGTGAGGGCCGGTCGGACTCGCCGGCGCGCCGGGCGGTCCGGGTGCCACCGACTCTCGGAGTCCGACGCCGGCCGAGCGGTCGGCCCGTCACGGCAGTGGCCGCGCCGCGGCCGCCGCGGCCGGCGGCCGGGCGGCGTGACTGCCGGGGGGCTGGGGCCGCGGCCCGGCCGCCGGCGGTCAGAGTGGCGTCGGAGCGTGACCGGCGCATGACTGCGGGGAATGAATTTTCTGAGGTCACGGATTGTCATCGAGCTGCGGCAGGGCTCCGACTACAAGTGTTGACAACAACACTGCATTATGTCCCTATATGATCTTTCTAAGCTGAAGTTGCTGTCTTTTCAGTATCTCTTTCATTTATCTGAGGTGAGCTTGTTCAGTCATCCCTCACCACCCTATCTTTTGAGCGTTCTGCGGGGGGTTTATTATTTGGCCAGCAAAAACCATGGAGCATAACCACCCCCTACCCCTCAAATATCCAGCACACCCCTGGTTACCGCAATCACGTACAATTTATGCACAATTTAACCCCCTTCTTCTCCAACAAATACCCACCTTTTTGATCCAAGAATTCACCCCCCACCCACTTCTTGAGTTTCATTTACTACCCCCACCCTTGAAATACCAACGAGAATTCCGAGAACGGAGGACTTTTTTTTTTGTAGACGTAAGACTCAAGCATGCAGGGTGGTGGTGATATCTAGGTATCAAAATACCGGTCCTTTAAAGTAAATATTGTGGGGTACTTCATGCCATGGTAGGGTACCAGTATCATTGGGTAGGTGACACTGTGATCATGGATTGATACTACCCCACGGTACCTTGAAACGTCCACCGTCCATGGACCTTGTGTTCCACATTTCACCCCCCAATTTCACTGTTATACAACCGGTATTAATATTACCCCACCCTACTCCTTAACCCATCCACCCTAGATACCCTTGCACCACTGTATAAAGGAGCTACCTCCTCCTCCTCCTCCTCCTCCTCCTCCTCCTCCTCCTCCTTCTGTTCCTGGTCTTGATCCTCCTCATCCGCATCCTGCTCCTGCTCCGAATCTCCTCCAGACCGCATCTCAGATCTGATCCGAGCCTTTGCTCCAACAAAGCATGTCGACCAGCCCCTTGCACCCCCTCTCCAGACTTTCGCATATCTCCTCCCCAGGCTCCAATGCCTCGTCCTCGGACCTTCTGGAATCCAACAATCAGCAACAGTACTTCAACCCGAAACCAGACTCGTTTGTTGCGGTCGTTACGACCAGCGACCCAACCAACAAGGACCTGGAGGCAGGCTCGCAGCACGAGATGTCTGTGAAAGAGCCGTCCAGTTGGAAGTGGACGAACGCGATGATAGCTTCGGCCATCATGGGGCTGATCTTCGGCATTGCGATGGAGCTGGGGAAAGTGACTCTTCCCATAGTGATCCGAGAGCAGTTCATCTTTCGAAGGTTCATCATGCTCAAAATGTTCCTGGGCGCTTCGGGAGCGTCTGCTCTCTTCCTGGCCATCCTCTCCCGCGTTACTCCCGACCAGCTCCAGTCAGCCAGGACGGAGTTCATGGGCTGTGTGGTGGGCAAGGGGCTCGCCGCCACTGCTCTGGGAGCCTTCATCCTTGGATGCGGCATGGCGCTGGCTGGCTCGTGCCCTGGCATGGTCCTCGTGCAAATCGGGTCCGGCGTGCCCAACGCGTGGGTGACCCTCCTGGGGGGTCTGAGTGCCGCCATGTGCTACGGCATGGTGCAGCCATGGTTCGTTCCTCTCTTCTCCGTCGCTCAGATCAAGACCCTCCGCCTCGAGGAGTTCTCGGCGCTCCGGCGCTTCAGCTACACGCAGCTGGCGCTCGCTGTCTTCGTCATGGTCGCTGTCGTCGTGATCGTCCTCGAGATTGTCTTCCCCTGGGCCAGCAAGTCCGAGCTGCCGCCCTGGACGGAGGCATGGGAGAGCGCTCTCCCGCCGGAGATGATGGGCGTCTTCATCGGCCTGAACCAGATCCTTGCTGTCCTCTTCCTCAACGACACCCTGGGAAGTAGCTCCGCCTACATGACCTGCACCTCCCAGGCCCTCGTCTCTAAGTCTCTGCGTGAGCGATTCCTTCACTGGAGCGGCTTCAGGACTGGCCTCGGCAACGTCTGGCAGCCTGTCTACCTTACCTTCGCAATCATCGGCGCACTTATCTCCTCCAAGGCCTCGGGCACCTTCGGAAAGCCAGCTGGGGTCACCCCCGTGCAGGCTTTCTTCGGCGGCTTCCTCGCCATCTTCGGCAGCAGGATCGCCTCCGGCTGCACTAGCGGCCATGGCCTCTCCGGCGTCGCCCTTCTCTCCGTCAAGTCCATGGTCGCTGTCCCCGCAATGTTCCTTGGGGGCATCATGGTAGGTTTCAGCTTCGATCATGCCGACAGCTACGCGTACCGCGGCTTTCTGATGTGAGCTGGACGAACCAGCGTGCACTTTTCCTCCTCCTCCTCCTCAGTTCTCCTCCTCCTGATCCTGGGCCTCCTCCTCTTTCCTCTGTCACGATTCAAGTCACAACGTCTCTCCACTTTATGTAACACATTGAATGAACAATCACATTTTTGCGAACAGACTTCGTGACCTTCGCGTCACAACCTCTCATATGCTGCCTTGAGATTTTTAGTACACCAGGGCACTGTCTGGCACTGTGAGCAACACAGCAGAACAGGATGACAGGTTTTTGACAGGAACAAGGGTAGCACTGAATGGTTCCATTCACGATGACAGTAACGGAGGAAGCAAGTACTTGCATGTATTCCTTCCTCTATCTACCTCCTTCCTCTCCCGGCTCATCCTCTCCTCTCTCCTCTCTCCTCTCTCCTCTCTCCTCTCTCCTCTACTTCTCTCCTACTCCCCGTCCCTCTCACCGGTCCATCTAACAGCAACGAACACGCTTTACGCCTTCAAGAACCATCTTCCAGTGTAGTCGATGGTATGCAGGGGGTAAGTCAGGTTGTTAGAGATGAAGTATTCGTCGATAGCCCGTTTGCACTGAATCCAGTGACCGTAGTCATCGATGATCACGTACCCCTTCTTGACTACCTTGGGGTACAGCGTCGTCAGCGCGTCCATGGTCGAGCTGTACATGTCGCCATCTAGCCGCAGCACGGCGATGCTGGAGATGTTGGCACCCGGCAGCGTGTCCTTGAACCGCCCGACGAGAAATCGGATGGAAAACCCCTGGCTGGAGGCAACTTGGCCGTCCTCCTTGATCCTGTATCCTCTCTCCCGAAACTTGCTCTTCACCGTCTCGACCCCCCCGTACCCTCCGTAGCTCCCCGGCGGGTCCATGACGCGCCCCCCGCTGTCTTTGCCTTTGTCTTCCTTGCGAGGAGGAGGGAGCCCCTCGAAGGTATCGGCGAGCCAGATCGTCCTGGCCCTGACCTGAGGACACTGAGGCTGGCGCAGGGCGAAGCGAAGGATGTCTGCTGCCAGCATGCTGCATCCTCCCTTCCACGTCCCTGTCTCTATCCAGTCCCCTGGTATCCCAAGGCTGATGACCGAGGACCAGAGGAGCAGGATGTTTCTAAGACGCTCGTAGGACACCATCGTAGGGTAGGACGAGGTCTGAATGGCTCTGAACCGGTGGGCGATGACTCTCGAGCATTCGCCTCCTGCTCGACCGAGAACAGTTAGTTCCTCTCCCTCTCGCCTTTCCTCACCTGCTCCCTCGATTCCTCTGCCTGCGGCTTGTCTTGCCTGCCGCGCCCACGTGGCGTCATGACGTCTCTGAGGAGCGAGAGGAACATCGGTCCTGGAAGGAGGAGCGGGGAGGAGCCTGGAGTCGTTCTTCAGCACCAAGGGCTGAAGCAGCAGCATGGCGAAGAGGCCAAGGAGAAGCATCACGACCCATGGCGGCACTCGTCTCAACCGTCGCAGCAGCAGCATGGCAGCCGTGCCCTCTCAGCGGCGCCTTATGATGTCTGCTGTGTCTCACGGGGGCCCAAAGCAAGCGAGGGACGGCAGGGGAACCTTTCAAGTTTGACTGATAGCACAGCCAGTCTGCCTCAGGCACCGCCCGGCCGGTGAGTACGTACCGGCGGGCTACTTTCCGAAAGTTCGACTCAGTGAGCCTCGTCGGAACTTTCTTCCACTCAGCAGTTTTCATCATGGCCCGGATGCGCGGTCACTAATCGAATCAACCTCCACCTCACTGGCCAGAATCTATTTAACCCAAGATCCACCAAAGACTAATTCTCAGTACACCTGAGATCCTTACACCAACCTTATTCACCTCAACGATACACAGCTGTGCAGTCTCTAACACCTTCACTGATGGTGATAGAACTCTCAGAAGAACCACACAACACCACCAACACTTCCTTTATTCACAGCAGTCACCTTCCCTTCAGTCCCTTGCAACCCAGTACATTGCACAGCGCGCAGTGG